GGTTTTCTAGTGGACAAACCCATGACTCTACTCTGTGACAACAAGGCAGCTATAAGTATCGCTGCCAACCCAGTACTACATGATAGAACAAAGCACATTGAAGTTGACAAGCACTTTATCAGAGAGAAAATCATCACAAGCGAAGTATGCACTCCATACATCAGCTCTGAAGACCAACTAGCAGACATCTTTACAAAGGGGCTAAACCATTTCAGACACCAAGGTCTCTGTGACAAGTTGGGCATGATTGATATCTATGCTCCAACTTGAGAGGGAGTGTTGACAGGTGTATTTTATGTACTGTTCGCAGGTTTAGTGCCTGTAGGGGTATTTTTGTAATTTTTGTAGTCCTCTTGTGTTGTACGGCCAGTATAGTATAAATACAAATGCTTCACTCACATGAAGTAGTTCTTTTGAGGCCTTAAGTCTGCAACCTCTTCTCTCTTCTTCTTCTTCTTCTTCCTTCCTTTCTTCTTCTTCTGCTCAACAATGGCAATGATGTGGTATAGCTCAATTCCTGGGAAACAGTCTGAAGGACACTGCCTAGTGGTAATTTCTTGGTGGTGCATAGGAAAGAAGGTACCATAGGCTTTCAGATTTTCAGTCAGGGAAACTCAATTCCTAGGAAGAAGTCTGAACCTCTCATTCAGATGGCTCCCCAGATGTGCTAATAGGCTGGCTGGTGACCTTGCTAAATCAGGAATATCTAGGCAATCATTAGAATGGGGAAGTCCAGGACCTAGGAGAACGGCAAAACTTAAGAAGATTGATCAGCTTAATGCTATTATGTATTGTACCAGCTGCCCTCCACCTTGCCAGCAGGACTCTTTTACAACGAATGAAATTCATTCTGTTGATTATCAATAAAAAAAATGTAGTTTAGCTGCAAGAGACTGCATGTATTTTTTCGACAGATAAAAAAAGAAATTTTATTAAAATCAAAAGAAGTCCGATTACAACCAAAACCATGGTATCAAGCAACACCTTAAAAAGAAACTGCATGAATCTAGAACATTATGATTTGGAAACACCTAGTCACCTACCAAATCCAGGGTTTGAATTTTCATTTCAAGTAAGATTTTGAACTTTATACACAGCAATATATTCTTTGTAGTTTCTTGTCATATTATTGCTTATCATATGCTGAAAATAGAATAATTGAATGTACTAAATGTAACTATTGTTTGCTTTGGACTCTTTGGTTTACAATCTTAGTTCCAAATCATTTGCTCTGAAGTAAAACACTGAAATGATGTAAACAGTGGTGCGGCTAGTTAACAACATTAACATCTTTTAGTTAATTGTCTATGAGCCCATGTGCCTATTTTGATGAATTTATACCTTCAAACATGTCACTTGGTCATAATACAATGTTATGAACCATCGGAATCTTGATTGCCACTTATAGAGCAAGCGCTGCATAAAGTTCCTTATGCTTTATTTCAGTAACTTATTGGAGACTTTTCCTTATTGGAGACTTTTGGAGAGAGTGGGATAACTAACAGACCCAATTACTTAACCAATTAATTTTTTGTTGACTAAGGCAGGTTCTCATAAAGAATTAAGTGTTTATATTATTACATATGCACTTAGGAACTACATGATGTGTCAGAAAATTTACATTTTTCTTTGATCATTAACTGATCTGTGAGACTCTAATGATTTAGCAAAAGCAAGTGCACAGAGCAGGTTTACCATTGCAAGACCCCTATCTAGCACCTATTTTTACAGGGAAAAAAATTGCCTGCCTGGAAGCGGCAGGCCTCTAGTACAACTTCTCCCAATTGAACTCCCTTCCTGGTTATTCATCTTCTTAGCAGTTGGCTATTCTTCTAACTCGCCTGAACAAAGTATTCAGGTTTGAAGCTAGATATCTGATATCACTTAGGCTATGTTTAGTTTGAAGTAAAAGGTAGGGAAAGGAAGGGAAAGTAGGGAAACCTAATACAAGGTTTGTAAAGGTTTCCCGTTTCCCTACTTTTCCTATTTTTTCCTTCAAACCAAACACAGCCTTAAAGTGTACCCACGGGATTTCTCCCCTTCTTTGCATCCACCCTATGATTACCTTAAAATCTCCTTCTACTTTCAACCTTCTCAGCTTCAAGGAGAAGCACCGATGCAGACCACGGTACAATTACAATTTAGACACTGTTACTCTGTTTTCCTATAACACATTAAAAGTTTTTAAAATATTATGAAATGGAAGTCGCATTTTACCTAATTTTTAGTTTCTGAGAGACAAAAAAAGCCTAACTTTCAAATATATTTCAATATGGGTATGCATTCAAGGCTATGAGCCTATGACTTAGAAAATGAGAAATTTGAATTACGGAAGGAACCTAATGTTTAAGTAGGACTTCATCCTCTCCGTGTTAATTTAAGTTCAATCGCAAAAAAAAAGCCCTAGATTTTTCTTTTCCCTTTTGCAGTTTGCACATTGTCGGACATGTACAGTTTTCAGTATGTTAGCATTGCAAGAAATTTTAACAAGCAAAGTTACAGACATCGGGGCCATGGTGTCAAAATCAAAATAAAGCCCATTGCCTACAAGGTCGAGTAACTGAGCTTCAAAACGACACAGATACGCGAAAAAGAGAGTGGATATACCTGAGCCAGCAAGCTGACTGCGTAGCAGTCGTACCCATGTTGGGAGAAGAAGGACAACCAGTGTTCGGCCCAACACCAAGCAGCATGAAAGCTTCCATGGACAAAAACCAAAGGCGGATTCTCCGATTTATCCTCATTTGGGTCATTTCGTGTACTCTTTTGTATAATAACCTCCATGTTCAGACCAGACGGGAGCACGTGGAACACGCGAGACTGCCCTTCTTTGAGCTGGTACTGGACTCCCATTGCAGAAGCTCTGGAAAGGACCGAGACAGGCTTTCCGACCCTTTGGTTGTTAACAGATTTTATGCGAAGGAAAGCTTTGGGTGTTAATGGAGCTAAGGTGTGGATTGAGAGAAGAGAAGCCATGGTTACTGAGGCTTCTACTACGAGAAGCGGTACCACTACCAGGGCGAGAGGTGATAGTGAGATATATTATCATTTATTGGCCTTGTCCCCGTTTTATCTCTTGGGATTATTCTACTTGGATTTCCTCCGGCCGGATCAATCCAAAATCAAACGGCCAGGTCGGGCTAGGTAATGTAAGTGGCAAACCATTCGGATTGGGTCAAAGTGGGTTCCAGGTTGCTTTGTTGGTTGGCATTGACCCGTATGTCTGAAGTCGGAACCCATATCCAAATCCAACATCCGGCTGATTAATAATCACGATCCCTTTTCTTTTTTTGGTAATTAAGATCTCATTAAAAACTCCCAAAAAGAGGGGATGAGAGAAAACCCACACCCGTGTCAGGGACGCGGCCAATTTGTGGGCCACAACATTACAATTTCTCTTAGCATGAACAAAACGAACAATGGTGACTTGAGGGAAATTGCCCCTAAAGGAGAAAAAGGGATAGAAGCAGCATTGTTTGGAGCCGAAATTGCCTAGCTAGAGTTAGATTCTATGATGTCTTGAGGGAAATTTTCCAAGGTAGTTTCCACACAAGCTAACCGTATAGTCAAAGCTTCTGCACAAAGGGCGGAGGAGCAGTGGCACAGACTTCCGTGACTCCAAATGATTTCACCAGAGTGAGATCGAGCAATACAAGCCAGAGATGCTTTACCCAAGGTTGTATCAAAACTGGCATTGCAATTAATTTTCACCCAACCTGTTGGTGGAGAATTCCAGCTCGAAGACTCCAATTGGATTGAGGTTTCTGAAGAAGCCGGTGTCGGATCTGATTGGAGAATCTCAGCTGATAACTAAGAAGCTTTAAGGGTTGTTTGTCTTGGGCAAGGCTGGATCCCCTTGAAGATGAGGTTATTGCCGGCTGTCCAGATTTTTCAGCAAGTTATAACTACTTCAGTGATCCAGCTAGAAAGGCTTCTGAGCGAATTCCTAAAGAGGAGGCAGTCCAAACTACTCTTACAAAATCACACTTCAAAAAACAATGTAAAATGTCTTATTCTGAGTGAGAGTAGAATTGGCAGATTTTGTTCACTGTAGAGCTCCCACGCAGGCTCTCCATAAAAAGAATTTAATCTTGTTTGGGATTTTGAGTTTCCAAAGATGCTTCCAGGCCTTTTCAGAAATCTGAGGGGGAGAGATACAACTGGAACTAGGCCCATTGTTTTTTCTTCTACATTCTAGACTCCATGCTAAATGATAGCCTGAGCGGACAGTGTAGTTCCCATTAGTAGAGTAGCTCCATATCAACTTGTCCTCTATATCTGTGAGACCCAAAGGAATCTTGAGGATTTGATCCCCTTCCTCTTGAGAAAATAGAGCTCTGATTAAGTTTCGGTTCCATCTTCAAGGATTGTCAAGAATCAGATCATAAACTGTTCAAACTATGCAGCTTGCTAGTTTGGGGGTGCTAATTTTGTTGTTTGGTAGATATGGCACCCACGGATCTATCCAATGATCAATAGATCTCCCATTCCCCACTCTCCAAACAATGCCTTCTTTTAGTAAACTCTGACCGAACTGAATGCTCCTCCAGCCCCAAGATGGGCAATTTCCCAGCTTAGCATGAATTAAAGAGGAATTTGGGTAATAAATGCTTTTAAAGATTGAGGCCCAAGTAGAAGAAGGGTTCTATAAGAGTCTCCAAGTTATATTGGCTAAGAGAGCCCAATTAAAATAGTCCAAATGCCTGAAACCTAATCCCCCTTTGAACTTTCCAACGCAAAGCTTGCTCCAGCTTACCCAAAAGATTTTCTTTTCATCTTGTCTTTGTCCCCAGAAAAAATTGGCCATCTGAGAGCTAATCTTCTGACAAATCCCTTGTGGGGTTTTAAAATGACTCATGTAAAACAATGAAGTTGGAATGGCTACTGCTTTAATGAGTGTTTCTCTTCCTGCTTGGTTTAGAGAGGCCTGCTTCCAACCTTCGATTTTTGCACTCATACGGTCTATCATATTAGAGAAAATTTGAGATTTTTTTTGCCAATTTGGGTAGGGAGACCCAAATATCTTGCAATGCCTTTACTTTCATTTATTCCCAAGATACGGGAGATGATTCAGTGAAATCTTGGGGGTGTTCTTACTAAAGACTATTTCAGATTTGGAATAATTGATAATCTGTCCAAATGCATCCCCATAGTTAGAAAGAATTTCTTTGATCTTAGACGCATTCCGAAGGTCAGCTTTGAAAATAGAAGGCAATCATCAGCATAATATAGCTGGGAAATATTATGCGTTGACCTTTTAATTGAGAGAGGTTGTATTCTGGTTAATCGCTTGAGAAATAGCTGCAGATAGGGCTTGGGAGGCGAAAATAAAGATGTAGGGGGACAGGGGGTCTCCCTGTTGAATTCCCCTAGTGGGTTGAATTTTACCTCTTTGAGTACCATTCAGGTTGAAGGTAAATTTGACTGATGACATGCAACTGTGCAGTGCAGTAGATTCTGGTTAATCGCTTGAGAAATAGTTGCAGATAGGGCTTGGGAGGCGAAAATAAAGATATAGGGGGACAGGGGGTCTCCCTGTCGAATTCCTCTAATGGGTTGGATTTTACCTCTTTGAGTACCATTCAAGTTGAAGGTAAATTTGACTGATGACATGCAACTGTGCAAAAGATTTAACCAATGTTGATTGAGACCTAGTTGCTCCAGCACCTTTAAAATGAAGCTCCACTCTAGGTGATCGTAGGCTTTGTTTAGGTCAATCTTGATGGCCATGTAATAGCTCTTGCCTTTTGTTTTAGTCCAGAGAGAGTGAAAGGCATCATGAGCTAGCAGAATGTTACCTGAAAATGAAGTGATTTTTAATAAAAGCGCATTGGCTTTGATCAACAATGAGAGGTAAGATTTCCTGTAATCTGGAGACAAGGCATTTGGCTAGCACTCTGTAAGTGACATTAATGAGGCTGATCGGTATGAATTGGGACATTTCTTGGGGTGAGGAGCATTTTGGAATGAGGGTTATGCTTGTGTAATTCACTGACACTAGAACACATCCCATGTGAAACCACCACTGAATCTCCTTTACTAGGTCTTCTCCAATTACGGACCAGAATTTTTGAAAAAAAAAGGTTGGGAAACCGTCGGGTCCAGGAGCCTTCAAGGGGCCAATGGAGAAAGTGGCATGGTGAATTTCCTGCTCAGAAAGTGGCATGGTGAACTTCCTTCAAGAATGTCAATGATTCCATTATCCAAATTTGGATTGTTTGACTAAAACAAAGCATTGAAATAATTGATAATTACCTCTTGAATTTCTTGTTCTGAGTGAATCCAATGGTGCTCTAAGTTTCTGATACAATATCCATCTCCTTCGCGAAGCCATTGGATTTTGGATTTTTGGCGCCAGAGAATTTATTCTCTATGGAGTTCAAAGGCTAGCTGAAACTGAAGTTCCTTCTCTTTCTTGGCAATATCATCAGACCACTGCATTGACTGGAGCCAGAGGATCTGAGATTTGATCTTGTCAATGCAGTACCTTATATCTCTGAAAACTTGTTTGTTCCACAATTTCAGTATAGCTCTGCAGTTCCTGAGCTTCTTACCCACTAAGGTACCATGAGAATGAGCAGAATTGGGAGTGGAATTCTAGGCTTGCTCAACAATTTGTTTACAATCTTGATGGTCAGTCCACACAGCCTGAAACTAAAAGGGTCTGAAGCCTTTCCAGGTCTCCGGTATGGTGTGAAGTATGAGTGGACCATGGTCAGATCCGTGAGCAATATCATTGAAGACAAAGGCCTCTAGGTATTTTGCTCTCCAAGCAATAGAGGATAGGAACATATCAATACGCTCTCTAATTACATGCCCTTGTTCTCTTTTATTTGTCCAGGTGAAGGGGGCACCAGCAGCTCTAAGGTCGATTAGCTCGCAATCATTGATGAAGTTATTGAAGTCTCGCATGCTTTGGGAGATGCAGAGTTTCCCACCTTCCTTCTCTTCCAAACTTGAAATTGCATTGAAATCTCCTCCTAGGAGCCAAGGGTGACTGATTGTGCTAGCAATTTCTCATAACTCATTCCACACTAGAGTATGTCTCCTATTGTCCGGATCTCCATGCACGAAAGTGTAGTGCCAAGAGTCATTTAAGGAGATGGAGTCTATGATCCTGAAATATTGCTTTCCCATGTCAGGATGGAACCTCCTGCTAGCCTAACGGGCTTGACTGCGAAAAATTATTGAAAACCCATCAATCTAAGGTGATGCTGCAATCGTTGAGAGTTGACTTTAGTCTCACAAAGAAATAAAATAGTAGGTCGGTAAGATCTTAGGTGATCTTTCAAAGCACAAATTGCCAGGGGCTGACCTAAGCCCTAGCAATTCCAACAGAGAAGTTTCATTGTGTCTGGCGGCCCCAGTTGTTTCCTGAGGCGGCTGATTGATCATGGTAGAGTAGATTCTCAAACTGTTCATTGGATGGTTTTTGAGAGGGAGTTGCGACATTCAAGTTGGAAGGGCCCTTGTGTAAAATCCTTAGTCTTTTATTGCCTATGTTTTCTGAGCAAAACTCTATTCTCCTTTTAGCAGGAGAGGTTTCAGTCATAGGTAAGGTCTTGCTAGGGGATGGGTCAGGTGTGGGTTGGGTTGATAGGTTAGGGGCATAGACATTGATGGTGGGCCTGGTGGAGTTTTTGGATTTGGGTTGAAAGTTGCTCTATTTTGGTGATAATGGGTCATAGGGCTGAGTGGAAAAGTTGGGAAATGGCGGTCTATTTCCAAGGTAGGTGGGGGACTAATAGGTGTAAGAGGAGAAGGATGGGAATTGTTCCCGCTGTCCTTGAGGTGTTGTCCTTATGGGGATTGCTACCTCGGACGTAAAAAAGGTTGGATGGGGGCACATCTTGTAAGGTGGTGCACGGCAAGTCAGTAGATGTTGGCCTGTCCTTCTTATTTGAAGCTTTAGAGTTGTTGTTCAGGTGGGGATCCTCTACTGTGACTCTACACATGCCAAGTGTCATGGTGCTTTTCTCTTTTGTCAGATCCTGTTCTCCCAATGGTTGCTTCGTCAGGGCAGCTTC